CGGCCATGGCAGTCCGCGAGTCTTCATTTGTTTTCATCAGATTTTCATTGGCTTGCCTGCTAGCAGCCAACTCCCTCTGAACAGCTGAGAGCTTCAGCCACGGGATCAGGCTGTACGCCCGTTGCCCCACGGCCACTTCTAGGCCTCACAAGAGCAGCCAAAACAGGTTCTGGCTGAGCATTGGTGTTTGATGGTCCGGGGTTATTCCGGTTCCTCGTCATGTCACTACACATGTTACACACAGAAATGAGTTGATCAGGCTCATACTTAGTGATCACAAGTGCAATAATCATAAAGAGTACCAAGACAACTATAAAGCATCAAACACTAAGCATATTCAACAATAGCTAACAGTTATTCCCTACGAAACTGCTCTGATACCATAAAATGTAACACCCCGTTCTAGAACCGGATTGTTATCATTGCGTACGGCATTAAGCGCAGTTACAATCACATTGGTTCAATTAGAAAACCGGATAAATTTTTTTCCTCTTTATACAAGCCGGATTCAAATAACCAAGTGCGTGATCATAACTATATATACTTCGCGGAATAGTGGGACAAAACTTAAGATTATATTCCCATTATACTTGACAATACGTCGTGAAATGTCTTCATCACTTTACTTATCAAATTAATTCTAAACTCCTTTTATTATTCCCATCTTCTACTATGTTATATTATTTTTCATTAGCTACGCGTGGGTTCAAACCGCGCTCAAATCGGAGCACCGTAGCCAAAGTTATGCACTTTTTAAGAAAAGGGTGCGAAACCTCCAGAACCCCCGCGCCCGCAGCGTGAGATCCACGCTCAGAGCGTGGGAAAACAGAAAGTTGGCGCCCCAAGCGTGAATCTGGCGCCCCAAGCGTGGATGCTACTGTCTGATCTCGTAATTTGGCGCCCCAAGCGTGAATTTGGCGCCCCAGGCGCCATCCACAGGGCTGGGTGACCCAAAACAAGGTCATTTAGCCTACCTATGGTTTTCCACTCATAATTTGAGCTATACTCACTCAAATTACACCATTTTGGTCTCTATGCAAAGCTAAGAGGAATGTCTACCACTTCCCTAGAGACATCAAAGTCCAATTCCATCACATTGGGTATGAAAATTGGTCAAACGGACAGGATGTATTTGTTTTCTCAACATTTCCCAATTTAGCACTAGGTACCTAATTTAGTTTCCAGTTCAACAATCCAATACTTAATGAACATACATATATTAAACTCAAAGTACTCATCAATTACACATCATGTTCATTACAATTCATGAAACTTAGCTAACAAAACACTATGATCATTCCCTTGGCTCTCATCAACAAAAGAGATGACCAAAGGCATGAGCATAGGCTAAGTCCATTCCAATATACAATTCATACATCTATCAATGGTCTATGAATTACAATCCTATACATGTGAGCTACAAAACAACATGTACAATCTCAAAAGAAATGCCACATTTCATGCATAATCCAGATATGGCCACTTGCCACCAGAGGCTCCTGCAGCATCCTTACCTGAAAGGGGGTCCCCACAACACGGGGTGAGATATACGAATATATCCAGTAAACCAGGGGTCCTTGGAGTATCTCTCCACCCCACAGTTCCATATCAGTGTAATAGCAATAACTATAATAATGCAGTAAATACATATCTATGCAAAGTGCAATACATCTCCAGGAGAAATCCCTCGAGCTCTCAAGCTGTCCTAAGGAAACTCAGATGCAAATAGTCCTACTGGCCAGCTAACTACCAAGTATGATTTACGCATCGTCATGCAACATACCAACATAGGGAAACACCATCCTATGCCACACCAAATGCATACACATACGTATAACAAAGCATTACACTATTTTATTGCATTTATATACACAATCACAACCTCTACCCTTTCAGGGCTTGGTGGAACAGTCAAGGGAATTACACCCAAGGTCCGAAGGCTTACCTCAATGCTTCAGTCGACCTTTGTTCTTCACCAACAGTTTCAGCAATCCACTTTTACAAATATACACCTATACAAGGGTAATGAAATTAACATATTGCATTCAAGGATAACTCATCACCATCAATCCAAGCTATCCTATTCATACCACAACACAAGGATGAACTTACCTATTTCAAGGACTAATCCATCTCCATTGCTTGCTCCAAAGGTTGGTCAATTAAGGTTGATCCAATTGCCTCAATCCTAGACAACACAAGGATACAATCAAGGACCAACCCAACAATGGTTCAACAATGCAAGAAAACTCATAACCAAGTGTCATATTCTTGCAATTTTCCAAAGTATAGTCATATAACTATCTAAGCTCATTTTCACCGATTAAATGCCATTCCTAGCATTTCTTATAACATGCACTAAGCTCCATTCTTCCTAGAACATAGCTACTTTAACAACATTTCATCAAAACCCTAAAACACTATTCATAAACCCCAACTCATGCAAATTTCAAGGAATCATGAGGTTCAAGGGTTAGAATCTTACCACCAATGGTCACACAACCAAGGATTGATGGCTCCTCAAGCTTCAATGGAGGTTGAAGCACTCAAAACCCCAAATTTCTCCAAAGGGCCGAATTTTTTTGAGGAGCAATATCCCTCTCCACAATGCTCCCCACTCAAAACCAAGCTAGGATTATGAAAGAGGGGAAGATTTGGAATGGTTTAGGCTTTGGAATCACTCCAAATGGTTGAGATTAGCTCTCTCTCTCTCTCTCTTCCTCCCTTTCCCTCCTTCTCCTTCTTCTTCCTTTCTTCTTTTCTCTGATGCTGGCGACGGGAAAATGGGGTGGGAAATGGGTTTCTATTTGCTTTGGCCACTTAACATTAGTTAAGTGGAATCAAGTGGGTATTGGTTCGTCTATCTATTTAACTCCAATAATTACCAGACTTTACCCAAAAGTCTGGAATATTATTCTAGGAATATTTATAATTTTATTTTTATATTTTGGGCACTTTCGCCAGTACCCATTTATACCCCTTAATTTTCACTGAATACACTTTTTAACTCCAAAGTGACTCAGATTCATTTCATTAAGCCTTATACTTAATTTTACTCACTAAAACATGCTTAATTATTTAACTACATGTAATTTGCTAATTAATTAGGTTAGGGATATTATACAAGGACCCCTGGTTTACTGGATATATTCGTATATCTCACCCCGTGTTGTGGGGACCCCCTTTCAGGTAAGGATGCTGCAGGAGCCACCAGTGGCAAGTGGCCATACTTGGACTAGTAGTGATGCATGAGGATCCTGTATTTTGATATTATACATGTTATTTTGTAGCTCACATGTATAGGATTGTAATTAATAGACAATTAATAGATGTATGTTCTGTTTATTTGGAATGGACTTAGCCTATGCTCATGCCTTTGGTTATCTCTTTGTTGATGGGAGCCAAGGGAGTGATCATAGTGTTTTGTAAGCTAAGTTCCATGAATTGTAATGAACATGATTTGTAATTGATGATTACTTTAAGTTCAATATATGTATGCTCATTAAGTATTGAATTGTTGAACTGGAAACTAAATTAGGTACCTAGTGCTAAATTGGGAAATGTTGAGAAAACAAAGACATCCTGTCCGATTGACCAATTTTCATACCCAATGTGATGGAATTGGACTTTGATGTCTCTATGGAAGTTGTATACATTTCTCTTAGCTTTCCATAGAGACCAAAATGGTGTAATTTGAGTGAGTATAACTCAAGTTATGAGTGGAAAACCATAGGTAGGTTAAATGACCTTGTTTTGGGTCACCCAGCCCTGTGGATGGCGCCTGGGGCGCCATATTCACGCTTGGGCCGCCAAATTACAGAACCAGAGAGTAGCTTCCACGCTGAGGGCGCCACTCCCACGCTGGGGGCGCCACTCCCACGCTGGGGGCGCCAATTTTCTGGTTGCCCACGCTCTGGGCGTGGATCCCACGCGACGAGCGCGGGGTCCTGGAGATTTTGCACCCATTTTCTTAGAAAATGCCTAACTTTGGCTACGGTGCTCCAATTTGAGCGCGGTTTGAACCCACGCGTAGCTAATCGAAAATCCCATAACATAGTATAAGATGGGAAGCATAAAAGGAGTGTAGAATTAAATGGATAATTAAAGAGATGAAGACCTTCAACGACGTATTGTCTAATATACAGGGAATATAATATTAAGTTTAGTCCCGGTATTCCGCAAAGCAAATATGGTTATGATCACACACTTGGTTATTTTAAATTCGGCACGTTTTAAAAAGAAAAATTTATCCGGAATTTAATTGAACCATGTGATTGTAACTGCGCTTAATGCCATACGCAATGATAACAATCCGGTTCTAGAACGGGGTGTTACAATTTACATTCACAATCAACATTCACAATCAAATCTTAAGCTATCAACTATCCCACATCAACACTCCAATGTCCTTTGTCATGGCATGATCTCCTTAGACATCTTACAACAAAATTATTCACCAGACATTGCGCCACATAAATTTCTATGCAAAACATCTCAAAGTTTTTTCATTGCTCTTTTTTTAATTTGAACAAGAGTCACAAATTTCCATTTCATGATTCATCCATAAAAACATCGTGTCCCTTATAATTAATTTTCCCTAATGATTAAGAACACCAAATAAAAAATAATTAGTATTAATCAAAACAGAGACACCAAATAAAAACAACACCAGCTACAATTAGCATTCATCAATAAGGTAACGAAATTTTATAAGACACCTCAGCAACAAGTTAAAATGAGACATTCTTATACTCTTGCACATTTAAACCTCAAACCGGACAACAAAGAAAAGATTACGGCTCATTATCTCACTCCTTTAGAAGAATTGGCTTATTAAAGACCGTAAAAACAAGAAACAAAGTTAGAAGCAAAGAGGTGGAAACAGGAAAATGTGACATGTTATTTCAATCCTTAGTTAAAATTCATCTTAAAAAAGGAGAAACCACCCAAACAAAGAAATATTCAGTAAGATTAAGTTATAATACAAGAAAAAACAATGTTTAATAGCCAATAGGAGCGCTCAAAGCAGCCCTAGCTTCTAAAACCTGAGTCTCCTGCTGAAGGATACTCTCCAAATCTGCTTGAGAGGACGCCAATTGATGCTTAAGATCCTCCACTTGATGCTTAAGATCCTCCACATGTTGAGTCAAAATACGCTTTGAGTCTAATAACTTCTGTAGTGCATCTTGAGAGACTTGTATACCAGGAAACATGGAGCGTCTCTCAACATCATCCAACCAATCCTTATCAAAACCAAATTTGCGTACGTCTTGTAATAACTCCACAAAATCAGAGTGGCTTGACTCTAACACATCCTTCACACTATGGATTTGGAGGAATTTCAATAGTTCAACCAGACAATTGTAAGCATAACCCTTATATCTGTTACTAAGTGTTTTGTCATTTAAATGAACAGAAGGATGCTTCACAAGAAAATCAGTCAATAAAGAAAAATTCTCAGAAGCCAAATGCTTGTTAGAGACCAATTGCTCAAGCTCCCTTTTGACAAGAGAAGCAAAATTTAAATCCTCCATGATTTTAGAAGGGTTCCCTGGAATTGAAGAAAGAGTCATTAAGTATCCTGAACATAATAAAAATAAAATGTAAAAATAAGGGCAGAAAATACCTTCAAACGACAACGAAGGAGACTTGTATGCAATAGGAGAGGGCTTAGATTCTGAAACTCCTATGTCGTGAGGGTTATAAATATGTTCCTCAATAATTGAGCTTACTTTCATGGAAGCATCTTCATTTAAAGAAACTAAACAAAATATGAGAGAGAAAAGAGTTCAAAATCAAATGTTGACGAGGTAACAAACGAAAAGAAAAGAAAAGAAATACAAAATTCTTCACCAGGAGCATGAGTTAGGGCAACCACAAACTCGGAAGTTCCCTGAGACTCTCTGAGATCAACATCTATAGTGGTATCAGGCTCTGTGGTGACACCTAAAACAGAAGGTGTGGCTGTTTGGCCATCACCATCTTCCTACACATTCAAATAAACAAATGATATTATTATCCCGGAAGTCTTTAGATATAGGGTGAGCCTCTCTATTAAATTTTATGTGTTTCAGTTTGGATGAGCCTAATTTCATTATGGGAAGGGTAAGAAGAAAAGAATAAGAAAACAAAAGAATTAGTGTTAAGCCTTAGCATTTACTAAGAAGCAAACTTACCCCCCGTCTATCCAACTTTGGATATAGGTGTAAGCAGTAGCAAGTAAATTATGGGTGCGATAATGGCATAATCCAAGTGTTCAGCACCTCAATTTCTTCTTGTTCAATCAAAATCCTGGATTCTTTTAAATCCAGTCCCGTGGTGCAATTAATGAATCGTAGACATGGCAACATTACATTTAAGCAAAGGAACATATTTGAATGCTCAGTTGCATACAACAAGCTTACCAGCGGATATGTTTTATGCTCAGAAGTAACTAATGGGCCTGCTAAAGAACTAACTGATTCTGGATTAGTTGATGATGTTATTGTCTTGGCATTCGCTGGTGTAGCTCCTTCTTCAACACTTCTCTTAATACTCTGCACAAAATCAAAAACAATATTGAAGTTTGGAACGTGCTTCCATTGAAAAAGATAATAAGCCATAACAGGGGAATGCCTTCTCTGGAGGAGCAAGAAATGGTCCTAGTGATGTGCTCCTTGTTTCTGAATCAGTGGAGATAGTTGCTGTTACAGTTTTCTCTGACGCAGAACGCTTTTGAATGCTTTGATCCTCTGTTTCTTTAGGACACTGGATAGCATAAAAATGAAAATAAGTTGTAATATATTTCTAAGAAGCATATGGAAGTACTATTCATATTCATTTCCTGTTATGTTTTTTGGCATGATGTACATGGTCAGGTGGTATTACATCATTTCCCTGAAGAGTTTTTAAGCTAATATCAGTTTCTCCAAGTGGGTGTTGTTGGTTCATCAAACATGGTTCTATCATGTTTTGTTCATCCACCAACTCCTGTAAAGAGCGCATAAGTATTAGTCAAGAACCACCATTAGTTTCCTGCAATACTAATAAGAAGACCTTGAAGTGGACTCACATGTGAATGTGCTTTATGTAGACGGATATCCAATGGACTTGGACGTGGCCTTCTAATTCGTTCTGAATGTGTTGGTGAAATAGCTATTGATGGAATCTCTAAAACAGGAACTTTTTCAACAAATTCATGTTCTGCATCAAGTGATTGTTTGGTTTTTGTCTCCACAGAAATGAACTTATTCGGTTCAATCTCATCTTCTTGTTGATCAGTATTGGCATGTGAAGAAATCAACTCACGCCCGGATGCTGCTTGAACATCAGGCCCAACTGGAACTTCTTCAGTGATTTCTACAATTGGATTTTGATTGATGGTATCTTTGTTATTTACAGAGTCTTCTACATCAAGTTCACCAACCATGTGGATGTCCCTCATTTCAGTAACCATGTCTTTTGCCACACTCTTCATAAACCAATCCAAGCGAAATCCTATAATAAAGTATTATAGATCAACAACTCCTTTAGCCAGTAACTCATGAGTTTTTTTAAAGCAGTAAAGGTATAAAATTATTTGTCTATCTTTACCTAATAATCAAAATTATTGCATAATTTTATCTTTCATATAATAGAGCTTCTATTAGGTAATGTGTAAACTTCTATTTAAGAGCTTGAATTGTTTGTTTATATACTTGAATCAAACTGTTTAGCTTTTTAAAATTGTTCAAGACACATACATGGAAGGTGAAGATATATGAATAACTTTAATATATATCTCCAATAATAAACAACTTTTTCATTTTTAATTCTTAAAGAAAAACTCTATAGATATTTTTCTCTTAAGTACTTTGTGAGTAAAGTTAATAACTTTAATGAACAGTTTAGTTATCAATAAACATGGAGCGAAAATTTTTCAGATAAATTTTATAAGAATGGTTTGACAAAAATTGTAGAGAAAATCAACTATAAAATCAATTCCATTCCACTTACTAGATTATTAATGGTTTAAAACTTCTATTTTCCAAGTAAAAAAAAAAAATTATTGCTCATTGTAATCAATTAAAAGGGCAGGGATTAACTTAACTTAATGTTAATACTTTTTGTATCCAATGGTTTATGTAACTTTTATCTCCAATAAATTAAAACTATTAGATGCAAGAAAATCTGCAATTTATAATAGGTATAAAATTTTTTATTCTTATACTGATATAAGTTGATGCATCCCACAATTAAAATTACATATTTGCGAAACTAACTTTTTAAAAATGTTTGGATTTAGAATAACTAGACAATACCCGCATAAAATGGATGCACATATATATACTTTAGAAATTTATTATTGGCGATGCCGTAGTTATTTTTATAAATATTAAACTAATTGATAAATTGAATGTTTGTTAATACTTCATTGCATTATATGTATTTTTCTTTTTGTAGATGCATTATACGTAATTATGTATATAAGGAGAGAAAGTTATCTTAATTAATATTCTATATAAATTCTGATAAAAATAACAAAAATAAAAGCATAACTTTTTAAAAAAAAAAAAAATTAACTTTGTCCAAAATTTTGTAAATATATATACTCCATGATAGGGGTTCACATTTGGAAGAAGTTAGCATGACAGAGATATCAGATTTTGAATTATATTTTTATGATTATAAGCAATGTAATTATATAGAACAAGCATGTCAAACCTTTTTTTATTTTTTTGAAGAAAAAAAAAAAGCGATGTATAATGTGTACCTGGGAAGATATCATATTCAGTAAGCCTGTGAACCTCGTTGATAATTACCGTTGAAGTCAAAGAGAGTTTTGCACAATTCTGTATGAAAAGTATAATAACCATCACTAGTAGTTGTGGATTTAATTTTGAAGAATAATTAGAAGTAAAAGAAATAAAGTCACTTTTGGTGAAAGAGGAGTTAAAATGACAGTTAAGTGGTAAAAATGCGGGTAAATAAAGTTATCCAAAAAGTGAAAGTAAATATAGAAAAGTGACTAGAAAAATATTCTAGTCTTTTGGGTGAAGTTTGGTAATAAATGGAGGTGCATAGATAGATAAGCTTATACCCACTAGTAAAATAAACTCACTTAAGTGAGTAGTGAGCCACTGTTTCCCCATTCTTCTTCGTCGTGGGACAGAGAGCAAAATGAGAGAAATGGAGGTTTTGAATAAAAACCTTCCAAAATTCGTAGAGAGAGCTAGAGACCTCCAAATCACTCCGTTCCAAAGCCAAACTTGTGAGAAATTTCGAGAGGAATCCATTGGTACCAGTATTTCTGGGTGGGTTTCACTGTAGAGAGAGATCTTCATCATCTAAGATTTCGAATTTCATGGATAATGGTGATTTTGATGGAGCTTGAGGCCATGGGAGCTTAGATACTCATCTCTCCTTTGTTTTAGAGTGCATTGTGGTAAGAAATTCCCTTCCTTTTCATGTTTTTATGAAGATTGAATTTATGGTTTCATTTTGAAAATTTCGTTTGATTGAGCATGTTAGAGCTTGATTCAAGTTTAGCTCATGTTGAGAAAAGTGTTTAGATGAGAATTTTAACGGTGAAAATGTATCTGAAAAATTAAAGATACCATATTTTTGAATAGTGTTGTATACGTGAATAGTGACGTATACATGAATAGTATTGTAGAGATGAACGGTACCGTAGTACCGTATATATATGAATTAATGAATCTTGGATTAGAGGTGTGTGATAAGCTTGAATTTGATGGACTAAAGCATTGGAATCATGAAGTTGGCATGAATTCCTTTACGTGCCTCTTAGCCATTTACAAAGGAAGTATGTGCTATGAGTTACTGTTTTACAAATCGAGCATACTTTTATGCGTGGAATAATATTCTAAGGTGTATGGACCTTCGCTTTGGTGAAATAAAAAAGAAAATAAGGTAGCTCCTTTGTATGACCTTAAAATGAGTTTTAGCCATTTTCAAAGGAGGTATATGTTCGGAGATATTATTTCGCAAAGTGAGAACACTTATATGCGTAAAATAATTTATATAGGTGGCTAAGCTTGGGTTTAGGCACTAGGCAAAGAGAAATCTTATAGCTCCATTGTAATGGGCATTCTGCCTTAAGTTGGGACTATCCTAAGACTAAGTGAATGTTTGAAATTTTGTGGGGATTTATTGAACAAAGAACCACCCACTCATGACTTAATATGATTTAAGTAAAAAGAAAATAAACAATAAAGTGTGTGTCTTGTATATTTACATGGCATTATATCATTTTATTGAGTTTTGTGTTGAATTCCTTCTCTAGGTGTACCTACTGTGAACGTTTGGATTCTCGTGGAGCATGATAAGTAGCTTGCTCTTCAAGTAAGCAAACTGTAAAGCTCCAAGAGGTAAGCTCTATGTTTATGGGGTTCGCTCCTACTTTGTGTTCCGCCATAGTGTACGGACTGTGGTCAGGTTGTATGATATGTATGAGATATATGATATAGATGCATTCATATAGAGCTATATGATAATATGATATGTTTTGTTTTGATGTATTTGCTTTGATATGTGTTAATATGATATGTTTTGTTATGATATGACTTCTGTAATATGATTTCTGTAACAATATCTGGCCATTGATTGTATAGTACCCGGATGTTCGCTTTGGGGTCCTCCCTCGGGACTGATGGTGTACGCCTCTGATATGTTCTGGTTCCGCTTTGGGGTCCTCCCTCGGGAACACGTGCGTTGATTTCCGCTTGGGGTTCTCCCTTGGGAATGACTGCGTACGCCTCTGATATGTTCTGGTTCCGCTTTGGGGTCCTCCCTCGGGAACACGTGCGTTGATTTCCGCTTGGGGTCCTCCCTTGGGAATGACTGCGTACGCCTCTGATATTTTCTGGTTCCGCTTTGGGGTCCTCCCTCGGGAACACGTGCGTTGATTTCCGCTTGGGGTCCTCCCTTGGGAATGACTGCGTACGCCTCTGATATGTTCTGGTTACGCTTTGGGGTCCTCCCTCGGGAACACGTGCGTTGATTTCCGCTTGGGGTCCTCCCTTGGGAACACGTGCGTTGATTTCCGCTTGGGGTCCTCCCTTGGGAATATCTGCGTACGTTTCTGATAAGATATGTGTATATGTTTTGTTTAGTTATGATATTTGATTATATGACATGTTTTATGGGATATGTATGATGATTTTGTAAATGATATTTGTTACGTACGTTGATTTCCGCTTGGGGTCATCCCTTGGGAACGATTGCGTACATCTTTGATATAACACGTTTTGTTCTGATGTGAGTATTGTGATGATTTTTGTAAAAGATATTTGTTACGTGTGTTGATTTTCGCTTGGGGTCATCCCTTGGGAATGACTGTGTTTGTCTTTGATAAGATATGTATATATGCTTTGTTCAGTTATGATAATTGCTTATATGATGTTTTGTATATTATGTATCTGACTGTCATGCAGGAAGTGAGCCCAGGGTATGGAGGGTTTTCCATAAACCTGGAGTTTACTAGAGATTCGTCTCTAACCCCGTTTGGGGATATGATTTCAGGAACACAGTTAATTGAAGAGCCTCATGGGACAAGGACACTAACCGTGGCTAGAGGTACTAGTATGAGGATGTGGAGTTCTGGGTGGTCGGATGCTACTATTTGTTTTAGACGTATTTTTGGAAAAGATGTATTGTTGCATAGTGTTCATATTCGATACATGTACATTTATGTATTCAGGCATGATGATATGACTATGTAATATTCAGTTATGTTATGTATTGGATTGCATGCTATTAGATTTGTGGCACGGAGCCAAGTTCAGCATGCGCCCATAGATGGGTATCTGAGTATATTTGCATGACTGGTACTTCTGGAAATATATATTGTTTAAACTGTCTATCAGGAACTCTTGAGTGTGGGATTGGAAAATCCCCAGTTGTCCGATTTACAGAGGTTACTCTGTCCGATTTTCGTCTCCGTAAAATAAGAATTAAATTAGAAGAAGTATGCAATGTGATATGTCATGTGAAAAAGGATTAAAGAAAAAGAAAAAGTTAGTTCGTATTTTCGTAAGTTAAGTCTTCCGCTGTTTCTGTTTGTATCATATGTATGTTAATTGAACCGGCTCGAGACGGGGATGTTACATTTATGGTATCAGAGCAGTTGCTCTAGGGAGTTACATGATATATAGCTTAAGATATTTGAAGTTGGAAGTTCTTGAGTGTTTTCTTGGAGTGCTGTATAATGCATGTGTGATCACTGAGTGTGAGCGTAGCTAACTCATTCCTTAGTGTAATATATGCAGAGATATGGTTCCTCCAAGGAGAACTCGTAGAACATTTAATAATCATGATCCACCACCGGATCATGTTGTAGCGATTTTGGTTGCACTACAGCAGACTTGGACTGCAACTAGGCAGAAAGAGCTTGAATTAATAATGAAGCATTCAATTTGACTGTGATAAGGATGAAATTTCGAATTTTCGTCAGAG